CATTTTTCCAAAGCATTAAGATCAAAAGAATGCCAAAATGAAGAAACAAAACCAAAAGAGGTGCAACAAATATCTAGTGCAAACAAGGCAAGATGGTTGAAATTTCAGCAAATGAGCAGACACAATAATACATAGACAACCACTCCATTAACTAAAGATGACTCAACTACAGGTATCAAGGCTGCAAATAACTAATGGACAGTCGCCGGTCACGTTGTCCGGTCAAACATGCTTTTGCTCGGACACTACCCGTTTTTGGCCGGTCAAATTTTAACAGTCCGAACTCTTGTGATAGTGAACCCAGATTGCACAGTAATCCTTTTACAACTAAAAAACAACTGAATCCAAGTCGGTCTGACAATAAAAATTACAAGTCAATAATTTTACTACTCTTTACTGCAGAAGCAGCCTCGCATTGAGTACGTGGAACGGTTACGCAAGATAAAACCGCAATTGTCCGTTTTACTTTACATCTGGCAAAATCACTTATAATTAAATATTACACTCAGAGCACAATTTTTTAAAAGTTAGAGTTGTGAATTTTTGTTAGAGTAAAAGAGTGGTCGGATTCTCCAGGTTTTGGGTCTTTTGCTCGCTTTTTGCACTTTGCAACAAATGCTACTTGGAGTATTCTCGATGGAACAAGATTATTCTTCGTGAGGGTGCTTTCCGATCATTCAATCGATCAAACAATCAATCACTTTATTTAAGAGTAGATGATGGTATCTAGCCAAAGGTAAAACCCTCTACTAACTGGGAACACTTATAGTAAATAAAATAACGGAGGCACGATGATTTGTGGTCACGACAGGACTTGATGACATCGCGGAAATTTGCGACTGCCGGGAATTTCTCCACCACTAATTTGTCTACTTTTATATTGGTTTTTTTTTTCCTTTTGGAAACATGACTGTGTCCCTTGTGATTAGCAAACAGTTCAAAATTAAAATTTCTTTGAACGAGTCGGTAAAGGACCGGATAAGATGTCCGGCAAACCAAGGATTTGTCCAATCAGTACCCAATTTTGACCGGAAATTGTCCGTTGACTGGCCGTTATTTGCAGCCCTGGGTATCTTGAAATGGAATTGTCATCAAGTTTAAATATCACGGTTGATATGTCCAATATAGAAGTTAACAATACCCTATCATCCACTTCTTGTGGGAAGATCTTAGGATCCATCTGTGTAACTAAAGGGTTCATGTTTTTCTGCTCACTTTTTCTTCTAACCGTAACACCACCAAGAATATTCTCAGCCACAGTGTTGTGTCTGTTTCCTCTTGATGCTTCATCGCGGTTATGAAAATCAAGATTCTCTCCACTTAGCTCCAAAATAGAGTACATTTCACCTGGATGCATTGAAATAGGTCCACGCAGGGGTGCTTTTCTATATAAAGTTCTGCTTCCTGTCTCATCATTTTCAGTAGTATGTGTCCTCTCTCTCAAGTCTTGATCATCAAATTGAGCTTCAGTTGACTTCCTCAAATCCCTTTGTTTCTTACAAAACAAAACAATCATTATCCTCATTAAAATACTCATTAAAAGTAACAGTCAGCAGTTAATTTGTTTTGTTTCCTTTCAAAAGTGACTTCATCACAAGAATGATTATTGCATTAAATTGTTATAACTTAGAAACTACCTCTTTCAGGGAATTTGCTCTATATTCTGTATTTGTTAGCAATGTTTTCCTTACGGTTAAAGAGCTAGTTTTTTTGTCATATATCTCACCTGAATCCTATCTGTGACAGACATGACTTGTAAGAGTAGATCTGAGTACCTCTCTCTTCTTCTTTCAAACATTTTGGCTTCACATTTGACTGCCTCTCTTCTATACTGACGCATTTCAGCTCGTTCTTTCTCTGTAAGCTAAAAAAACATAAATTTAAAGAAATAACAATTCAGACACTTGCTGAATTATATTACAACTAGTCTAACAATCACTCAGACCGACCAATAATAAATTGTGGCAAGCCATGCAAATAATAATAATTATTATTGTTGTTTCTGTGTCAGTCTCTTGCTCTTTCACTTGCCTCCTATGAGTGAGAACCTCAGTTGGACAAACTAAATAAATAAGCATAGTTTTCCTGAACCCCCTAATGAAAGTGTAGAAAAGGAGGTTGATGTAACAAGCCTTTTTCCAGTTTGTTTTTTCTTACAAAAACAAATTGACTATCCCTCAAAACTAGCAAGTCAGGCTTTTAAACGATTCAGTCCACTAGAAAGTGATTTAAGATTGAGGGTCGTCTTCGTTTCAGACAAGTAGAGTTAGGAAAGCACAACATGACCCATGAGACCAATTATCAGTTTAATAAATAATTGGAAAATCATTATTCTCAGTCCTACTTATCCAGTAGAAAAGATGGATCAAGCTTGAGAC